TATATCTTTTTAGGAGTGTGTGTACCTCCTAATCACAGGTAAAGACATGCGTCACACGAAAGGGTTATACAATAAGCAATACAAGCAATAGGAGGGGAATATACTATGGGCATAAGTGTAACAGGACGGGGATGAGCTAGGGGTGCACACATGACAGGAAGGGGTGGAACTAGAGGTAAACATGTGACAAGAAGGGTGGATGCTAGATTCATAATGGTGGCCCAACCTTGGTCACCCTTGAGTGAGCTTGACCTCCCTGAGCTCTCCTTCAAGGAAACAATCTACCACCATCCTTATCAGAAGGGAGTGGGCCCTACTTAGGGTGGTACAGACTATACAGTCTGATTGCTCTAGATGGCTGAAAACCCTTAAGGAGAATAACCCCTGGCCTACTTTTGATCGACCTCCAAGTGTATAGTCATTTGCTAAGTGTAGCAAGCAGCTAAGTTTGGCATATATTTGGGGGAGACAACTTGGGAGAAATCTTTCTGTTTCCTACAGAAACCATGCATTTTAATTAATGGAAGGTATTTTGAATGTAATGAAAAAATGTTTTAGATAATTTGTATTTTGATACAATTAGTGGGACATGTATGTCCTGAGGTTGGGGATGACTGGTGCTGGTGTTGCTGGGCTGTTGTTAGGTGCTGTCTAATCCATTCCAGTTCATTATGTACAACAGAACAAAACACTATCCACCCCTGTACCATCTTTACAATTGTTTGAGCCCATTGTTGCAGCTGTGTGTCAGTTACACTGTTGATGGTCACCCTCTATTTTGCTGACCTTCTCCTTTACTAAGCATGATGTCCTTCCTGATAGCATGTCCAAAGATGACAGTACACACTAAAAATGGGATGGCAATTTCCATTAAGAGTCCAGACATAGGAAACGTTCCCTGGCCCTATATGTCCTACAAGGAACCCTAATGGTGGAGTAGGGTAAGTGTTGGCCTCAAAGTCAGCAGTTCAAATCTGGTAGCCCTTCTCTGGAGAAAGATAACATTGTTAGCTCCTGTAAAGATTTGCAGTTGAATTGACTGGATAATAGTGGTTTGGGGTTTTTATTTACTACATGCCTTGCAGGTCATAACAAGGTTAAATAGATGAGTAAATAACATTGGGGCCAGTCTGACCTCCTCCAGCTTCCATAGAGAGAAGGAAAATCCAACTTTAGCCCAAGGTCAATTGCCACAAGGCAGAAGTCATACATACATCCCTCCCTCTTCTATCTTTCTTTTAACCTATTCTTATACCAACCATTCCTCCCCTGGGGCACTTTACTACTCTGCCAGGTTTGACAGTCCACTTTTGTGGCCATCCAGACAATATTCACCTAAGTTATAGGGGTTTATTAGAGACATTAACAGGTTACTTCAAACCAGGATCAGAAAACATCAAAGAAACATAAAGTCCATGGTCAGTGGTCCACAGAAGCACCTCTCAGCCAGCAGTCAAGTCTCTTTCTGGTCAGAAGTGTCAGTCACATGGGCCCTTGGCCTCAGCCTCCATGGACCCAGAAGCCCACCTGTCTCTACCTCATGGCCCCATGGTCTCAGTGGTACAGCACCTCTGCTCCACCTTGCTGGGGCTTCTCTGGTGCCTCTGCTGCCTCCGCCACTTCAGACACTTCACACTCCCCACCTGTGGCTGTTCTTCCTCTTTTTTAATCATTTTGTTGGGTGCTCATATAACTCTTATCCCAATCCATACATCCATCCATTGTGTCATAAATGCATCCATTGTATATCAAGCACATTTGTATATTTGTTGCCCTCATCATTCTCAAAACATTTGCTTTCTACTTGAGCCCTTGGTATCAGCTCATTTTTCCCCTCCCTCCCCACTACCCCTTCCTCAGAACCCTTGATAATTTATAAATTATTTTGTCATGTCTTACACTGTGAAGTCTCCCTTCACCCGCTTTTCTTTTGTCCATCCTCCAGAGAGGAGGTTATATATAGATCCATGTATTCGGTTCCCCCTGTCTGCCCCATCTTCCCTTTACCCTCCAGGTATTGCCACTCTCATCACTAGCCCTGAGGGTTTCATCTGTCCTGGATTCCCTGTGTTTCCAGTTTCTATCTGTACCCCTGTACATCCTCTGGTCTAGCTGGTTTTGTAAGGTAGAATTGGGATCATGATAGTGAGGAAACATAGAACTAGAGGAAAGTTATGTGTTTCATCGTTGCTACACTGCACCCTGAATGGCTCGTCTCCTCCCTGCAATGCCTTCTGTAAGGGGATGTCCAGTTGCCTATAGATGCCTCTCATTCACAATGCTATGGTTTTTTGTTCTTTGATGCCTGATACCTGCTCTCATCAACGCTTCATGATCATACTGGCTGGTGTGCTTCTTCCATGTGGGCTTTGTTGCTTCTCAGTTAGATGGCCACTTGTTTACCTTTAAGCCTTTAAGACCCCAGACGCTGTATCTTTTGATAGCCAGGCACCATGAGCTTTCTTCACCACGTTTGCTTATGCACCTGCTTTGTCTTCAGTGACCGTGGTAGGGAAAGTTAGCATCATGGAATGCCATTTTAATAGAACAAAGTGTTCTTGCATTGAGGAGTACTTGAGTAGAGGCCCAATGTTCATCTGCTACCTTAATACTAAATGTATAAATATATGCACATAGATCTATTTCCCCATCATCATATATAAATATATTTACATATGTACATGCCTGTATTTAGACCTCTATAAATGCCCTTTGCCTCCTAGTTCTTTCCTCTATTTCCTTTTACTTTCCTCTTGTCCCACTATCATGCTCAGCCTTCATTTGGGTTTCAGTAATTCCTCTTGCTTACATTGCCCTTGATCAAGCCATATCAGGCCTCCCACACCAGTTGGCTGTTCTTGATGGTCCCAGGATTCTCTCTGTTCTTGCTTCTGACATGGCAGTCTCCTATCCAGAGGAAAGAGGAAACTAACAAGCTCTCCAAGTTAGAGTCCTCTACACCATATTTGCATAGTCTCACCCAACTGCTTGGTAGGAGTTTGAAATGGATGGAAGAGCCATATTAAGAAATGTAACTAAAAAAAAAAAAAAGAAATGTAACTTTATCACAGTAGTAGTCCTTAGGATGCTAACTTAGATCAGAAAAGTGTTGACCAAAAAAATGTTAAATGTCTTCTTTTTCTTGTGCCCAAGAATAATGAGTGGCTGTTTCCTCTGTATTGTGCCACCCCCAAAAGATTTGAGACTATCCCAGAGAGATTGGTTGGTTTAGTCTCAATGAATGATCTTACATTTCCACAGAAGTATCAGATCAGATGATAGCTTTCGTCTTTGTGTTTCTTTCTTTTTGGTAATGTCTCTATGAGTGGTCTTCCTTGGACTCTTCCTCTATCCATCCTAGAACACCTCACTCCTATCTAATAACATGCTTTCTTCTGACAAACTCCAGAAACCAAACTCACTGCCATCGGGTCAATTCCAACTCATAGCAACTCGGTAGGATAGGGTAGAACTACCTCTTTCGGTTCCTGGGCTGTCAGTCTTTACTGGGGAAAAAAACTGCCTGTTTTTCCTGGAGCAGCTGATGGGTTCAAACCGCTAACCTTCAGTGACACTCCCCAAGGAATTACCCACTACTTCATCAGGGTACTTTTTGCCTCTGTAGGATTCTTTTAAAAAAAAAAAACAACGAACATTTTATTAGGGATTCTCACAGCTCTTGCAACAGTCCATATATCCATTGTGTCGAGCACATCTGTACATTGTAGGATTCTTTCAATATTTCTGTTTACTGTCTGATGGTTATCTTCAAAGTATGCGTCAAGTGTTGAATAGCTAACTCTGGAATTTGTAAGCAGAATGACTTTCTGAGATTCTTTTGTATACTTAATATTTAATCTAGAACATCTGATACAGTAGAATAATCCAGGAAAAAGTAATCTGTTTCCTTTCAAAATTTTCACCCCATCAATATGAAAGGCTAGACCCACAATGATAATTTGAGGTGAGACCCAAAATTGTACAAGTCCTGCCTGGCTAATCAAATTTTAAGTGTTCTTTTGTTGTCTAGAAAGCTTTGAAAAACAGAATCCTGAGCTAGATATTGCTTTATATTGTTTAAAGCATAGCTTCCCAAACTTTCTTGGCCTACTGTTTCATTTTTGTGGTGGGGGGTGGAGGGGTAGACACACAAAAAAACTGCCCCCTAGCAAAAACTTTTGTACTACAGTATATGTGGCATAGTGGTTACATGCCTCAAGGTCAGGAGTTTGAAATCATCAGCTGCTCCACCGAAGGAAGATGAAACTTCCTATTCCCATAAAGAGTTAAAAGTCCCAGAAACACTGTCCTAAAGGGTCAATATAAGTTGGAGTTGACTCGGTGACAGTGAGTTTTTGGTTTGTTTTTTCCAGTAATGACTCACGATCCAGGGGAAAGTATAGGTATTTGCTTTTCCAGCTTCCCTGGATCAGTCCAGCACCTCTCCCCCTGGCCCCCCCAGGGTGAAGTATTAACTACTTTGGGAAACACTGGTTTAAAGGAGCCTTAGATATTGTCTAGTCTTATTTATAAGGAGTCCTGGTGGCATGTTGGGCTGCTGTCCACAGCGCTTTAAAACCACCAGCTGCTCCTCAGGAGAAAGAAGAGACTTTCTACTCCCGTAAAGAGTTACCGTCTCAGAAAACCCCAGCAGCAGTTCTCTGCTGTCCCGTAGAGTCACTGTGAGTCAGAGTCCACTGGATGGCAGTTTGTTAGGTTTTTTGAGTCTTACTCAAGTGTGACTTGCTTCATGTTGAGTTGTATGCCTAGGTATGTTTAACCATGCGAAACCTAGGAGAAACATGGGCTGGTGTAATTTGTATCTAAAACACTTGCCATAGTTATGTCCAGGCTACAAATATGCAGTTCCTTTATCATCCACCTAGCTATCTGTTGGTTATGAGTGACATCATCTTTTACTCTACTGAATATTATTGAGACCTAATGTTTCCCAACCTCAGCTGACAGTAGTAAGTAATGGACTCAATTTTGTATTTCAGCTCAGACAGCTATAACTGCACCAAAGATGTGGAAGAAACCAAAAGATCGGACCCGAACCACTGAAGAGCTATCAGAGGCTGAGTTGGAGGTAGGGGCAAAATTTAGTCTCTCTAGCTTACCTTCTGAGCAGTGGTGCCATTTCATAAGACAAGCGTGGCTCGATACATATGTCTTTCTTGAGATACTGTTTTCCAAGTGAAACTTGATATATCAAGCTTAAAGACTGACTTCAAAATCTAGGAAAATATCAAAGAAAAAATGAAAATATTTTCTTAGATATTTTTAATAATATGTTTTTTTAAAAATCTTGTCTTGTGGCAAAAATAAGCTTAATGTTTTTAGTTGAAATTTAAACTTACCTGATAGGCTAATCTGGTAAACAAAGAAATGTAAACTTTTAAATTAAATGCTCATTAGCAGTAGTGGTAGAAATGACCAGTTACATTTTAGGTGAAATTTTTTTGGATCTGTCATCTTCCAACTAAACCCCAAAAGTAACTTTGCCATGTGATTTGTTTTCTGAACTAAGCAACACTTAATTGTGCCATCGGTTATAGAATTCCAAGATCAACAGGTGATGTGAAGAAGAGACAAGGACAAGTTTAGTCCTAAGGCTTGGCCTGACAGTTTCCTAGTCTGTGATCTAAACTCACAGAGTATTAGATTTTGAACCTACTGTGATGCATAACAGAAGAAAATAAATAATAACTGAAAGAAGAGTTTTCTAGTTATGTTTTCCTACCCTCTTCAAGAGAACCCCCTTGTTACGTCTCCCTTTCCTGTCACTGGCCTTAACATTAAGTTCTGTTGATGTCACAGTTAGCCCCTTAGCAACCACTAAGCTGCTGCATGGATGTGATTTCATTATATGTATCAGGGGTGTAAGCTGACAGTAAGTTATCGGGGTGGAAATGGCTACTGCACTCTTCTGACTTGACCAAGAAAATGTTGCGCCGACAGAAAATTAACAGTTAAAACCTTCCTGAGGCAGGAGAATTCCATACATTCCTAGCTAGTATGACTGTAAGAATTTCATAGACTGATTTGTTAATTCAGCTGCTATTTATTTTCTTCTGTTCTGCATCGCTTGTTCCTATGCCCTGTGACCAGATTTCTAAACTTTATGGATCTTAAATAAAAGTGTAGGCCACAACTATCTCTTCCAACATTCATCCTATTCTTTCACTGGTGCTGGTAAACTTCTTCTGTAAAGAGCCAGGTCATTTTTATGAGCTTATCTGATGGACCTCTGACTTACTGATTGTTTCTGACTGTTTCTACTGCGGTAACCCCAAAGCAATCGGATGATTCAAAAACTAGTCGGTGATTCCTGTCTCAAAAAAACCCTTTATTGATGGAAACAGGAATTTGAATTCTTTTGGTTTCTATTCAACCATCACGATTGTTAAAAACCATTCTTAAGGTTACAATTTGTACGAAAGCAAATGGTGGACCAAATTGGGCCCATTAACTGTAGTTTATAGAAACCTACTTTAGATTGTTAATCCTCAAACATGAGAAATGTTTTGAAACATTTTGAATCAATAACTTTTTTCTTAACGCTTTAATTTAAAAGTAAAATCAAAAGGTCTTTCATGATTTACACAGACTTCCCTCAGAAATCCTAGTTCCTGGCCTTTCTTAAAATCAGAAAGTTGGTGTTTTTTAGTAGCTTCGTATTGTTACATGTCATTGTCTTCATTTACATTGATCAGTTGTCTACGCCTTCAAAGTAATGTGCTTATTTGAAATCCAGCATCAGCTTATTTTGGGTTATATATTGGGTTTTTGATCATTGAAAATATTCATTTCATAAAGTTCTTTATATTATAGCCTAATCACCAGGGGATTCATCTTAAAATTGCTGATGAAGGCCTCTTAGAATCTGGTTAGACGTTTTAGAATTTCTGCATTTCTCAATCACTACAGATACATAGAAATCAATCTAATTTTCTAGCCTACAAAAACAATACATTAGACAGTTTGTCAAGTAAATTATGCTTTCATAGGCTCCTTTGAGTCCAACCAAGGATATGCTTCCTTCCTTCCATCTAGTTTGCTAAGTAGACAGTTTAGGAAATGCTAGACACAAACTTCAGGATAGTCTTCATCCTCGTACAGGGAAACTTTTCCTTCTTAGGAATGAGTGGAGTTGTTTTTGTGGATTTGCTCCTAACTGTTCCTCAGAAACCTTCATAATTCTGGGTTCCCTGGATTATGGTTTGTCCTTAGTGGAAAAGTTTCTGTAGGTGTCTTTTTCTAGTTAGAAATTTGTCAGGTAATGCAGTTTCTATTAATATGAAATGGATTATTTGTTGTTAATTTTAGAGAATCAAATATATTTTTGTTTCCGCAATAAGAATACTATGTAATTTCATAATGTAACTAACCTGGTCTTTATTAAGTTTATTTTTGTAAGGTAGTCGAGAGGCACCAGAAACCCAATCAGTCGAAATAGAACAAACAGGCTTTATTAGGCAGAAAAAAACACAGCCTGGGCGAAGTCCCACAGTCCACAATGTCCGGGCTGGGGGAGTCGCATTGCAGGCTACAGGACTGCTGCTTATATGGACAGGTATGTCTGGGTTTCTGGAATGTAAGGTGTCTTCCTGGTTCTGGGTGTATTCGTGCCGGGTGCAGAGCGGTGGGCAAGAACAAAGCGGGCACTGAGCCAAACGGCCGTGCTGGGTGCAGAGTGGAGGGTCGAGAGCAAAGTGGGCACTGAGCCAAACGGGCCATGCTGGTGCCGGGTGCAGAGCAGCGGGTCGAGAACAAAGCGGGCCATTAGCCAGCTCTGGTCAGCTCTGCAGGTGTGTGTGGGAGATTCAAGGCCACTTTCTGCTAGTTGTTTCAGCTAGCTCTGGTCAGCTCCGCACGGGTGGGGAAGACTCAAGGTCACTTGCTGCTAGATGCAAGCCTGGTATTGATCTGGCCATACAATTTTTAAGTACTATTTATAGACTTACACCTCAAATTAATAGAGATCTTTATGATGACTTTATGTTGTTCTTGTTCTCTGATTCATATTGGCTCCATGCATAGTAGCATGAGATCTTGCTGCCTGGCCCTGGGCCATCCTCACAGTTGTTCCTGTGTCTGAGCCCACTGCTGCAGCCACTATGTCAATCATTGTTAAGCATGATGTCCTTTTCTGGGGACTGGTTTTTCTTGATAACATGTCCAAAGTACATGCATGTAGTGACCTTATAAAGAGTATTAAATAGTTATGTATGGAATATGAAAAAATTGAGGCTGCTGAATCATAATTCATACTCAGTAGATCTGTTTTTTCCCCCTCAACCTACCCCTGCCATGTTTCGCTAAAAATAGTAACGGTTGATTTTGTGAAGAGACGGAGACTGAGCAGTTGAGACCGCCTTGCTGGCCTCCAGCCACAGTCGGCTTCTTCGTGTGGAAACCGGGAGCAGGAGATTCACAGTTTAATTTCTTCTCCTTTTTCCTTCCTGTGAGATTTTTTTGATTTTCAGCTGTGTGACCAACCTTGTCAAACACCATGGCCAGCAATGTTACCAACAAAATGGACCCTCACTCCATGAACTCCCGTGTATTTATTGGAAATCTCAACACTCTTGTGGTCAAGAAGTCCGATGTAGAGGCAGTCTTCTCGAAGTATGGCAAAATCGTGGGCTGCTCTGTTCATAAAGGCTTTGCCCTTGTTCAGTATGTAAATGAGAGGAATGTCCGAGGATGGCAGAATGATTGCTGGCCAGGTTTTGGCTGCAGAGCCAAATCTTTTGGCTCTGCAGCCAAAAGTGAACCGAGGAAAAGCAAGTGTGAGACGATTTGCAGCAGAGATGTACAGCTCTTCTTTTGATTTGGACTATGACTTTCAACGGGATTATTATGACAGGATGTACAGTTACCCAGCAAGAGTTCCTCCTCCTCCTCCTATTGCTCGGGCTGTAGTGCCCTCAAAACGCCAGCGTGTATCAGGAAACACCTCAAGAAGGGGCAAAAGTGGTTGCAATTCCAAGAGTGAACAGCGGGGATCTTCTTCCAGGTCTGGAAAATTGAAAAGAGATGACCTTCAGACTATTAAAAAGGAGTTGACACAGATTAAACAAAAAGTGGATTCGCTACTGGAAAGCCTGGAAGGAACAGAGCAAGCAAGGAGTAGAGATGAAGAATGGCAATCAGAAGAGGAGCAGAACAGCAGCTCCCTGAAGAAAGATGAGACTAATGTGAAAATGGAGTCTGAGGCGGGTGCGGATGACCCTGCTGAGGAGGGCGACCTGCTGATGATCTGAGAATGAAGATCGGGGTGACCAGCTAGAGTTGATCAGGATGATGAAAAGAGGCTGAGGAAGGAGAGGATGACTCTTAAGCACATAGTGGGGTTTAGAAGTCTTATCCCATTCTTCTTTACCTTGGCGCTTGTCTAGGCTCAGGTTTTCCACCAGATCCTCTCCCCTAGTGTTATCTTCAGCACATGTTCACTGTTCCCCCATCCTTGTCCTTCCCTTGTCCATTAATTCTTATTGCCCTGCGCCTAGTCCCACTTTTGCTTGCTTTGATGCTCCTAGTAGTTACATTAAGTCTTTCCTTGTAATTTTTTGCTTTCAATTTGATACCTCTTTGACTTAACAATAAAAGGATGTATGGCATTTGTCAACTGTCTGCAAAATAGTCTCTTGTTATGCAGGGAACACAGTTTTCCACATATTATGAGTGCAGTACTTGCTTCCCTAACTGCAAGGGCATTCTCACGTAGTTGAGTAGCATATGAGAAGAGTTTTGGGTTTTAGGTATGTGTGCCCCACATGTGGGGCTGTTCAGCATAATGTAACAATGTATTTTTTGTGAATGAGAGTTGGCATGTTATGCATCCTCTAGAAAATAGTGTAATAGTCTTAAGATTTGTTTTCTAAAGTTGATAGATACTGTGGGTTATTTTTGTGAACAGCCTGATGTTTGGGACTTTTTTCTCTCAAAATAAACCATATTAAACCAGGAATTTGGAGGAAACAAAAAAATAATAATAACGATTACCACGTTTTATATATATATATTTTTAATGATCATATACTGGCTCTCCCCATAGAGGGAAGGAGAGGACTCTGTGTATTTACAGAAACTATTGGAAATTGAATCTAAAACCATCTGTTACTGTTGATAACATTTTTATAATCTAAGTAGTATCAACCCTGCTCCATTCCCCTCAAGATCTCAGATGTATAAAAGAACAAAATTGTATTATAACATCTCTTTTCTAATAGCAGAATTCGTCGCTTATGTATTTACTTACTACTTGTTTTAAAAATAGTGTTATAGACCACCTGGGTGGAACCACTTTCTGATTCTATTCATATTCTTTCATATAATCTCTGCTGACTCTACCCTCGTTTTTTCCTTCTTTTTCTTGTATGAACTTATCATTCAGAAAGTCACTTTCTTAGTGCTCCTGCCAAAAAATTGCTTTGATAGTGTTTTCCTTGAATCGAAAAGAAAAAGACTTGTTAAGTTCCTGGAGACCTTCGCTTCCAAGCATTTTGATGATTCATGTGGCCCCTGGAAAACCTGTATTTATTTGATATTTGAGATAGTAAAAAATAATCTAGTGAATAACTTCACTTCTACCTTGCTTTTTAAAGACAGGTGTATCGCACCACGGAGCCTGGGAGTGCATTAGGGAAGCACGAGTGCTAACTACACGGTGGACGGCTGAGACGCTGCAGCCACTGCACGGGTGCAAGCTGTGCCGTCTGCTTCTTTTACAGTGCGCACCGTGTGGCAGGGTTTTGCTCCGGCCTATAGGGTCTGCAGAGTCAGAATCAACTGTCCTGCAACAGATTTGCTTTGGTATATGATGTCCCAGAATCCAGTTTTCTTCCTCAAGGAATATGTTCCACACATTTTTCAGTGTACGAGTTAAATAAGATTTATAGATCCAGATAATTTTAAGATCCAATAAATATAAATCGACTTTACTAACAAGTGGCCTACTTATAAAATGAAAGATAACCAGCTCCGTTTCAGTCAGAAAATAGCACCAAAATATGCCCTCTTGTATTCTTGTTTATATTTGCTGAGCTTCCCTGGTGAAGATAGGAGTGCTCGTTTTAGATTTCTAACTTAGGCTTTTTCTTTCCCATCAAGTTCAAGGATTAACAGTTCTTTCCATTCTAACCTTTGGTGCATTTGGATTTCGTTAGTCACGTTAAAGCATTTCAGTAGCCCGAATTGCCTGACTCATCCCAGGAGAGGAAATGAGAAAAGTATTTAAAATAAACATTCTATTCTAGCACTCTGTGCTGAAAACAGATGCCCTGGTCTTGAGTAACATGGTTTCCCATGCTTGTGAGGAGTGGGGGTGGGTCTTGTCTTTTTACACACACTTGAACAAACTATAACCTCTGTTCACTTATGCTTTTAGCCTAAAGCCGAAGAGGAGCTTTCAGGTGACAAAATAATTGAAGCTGAACAGGATAAAAAGAAACAAGGGTTTCATCCTGAAAGAGACCCCTCTGGCTTAAAAAAAATGAACGCTATGGAAGAAAATGGAGAAGACGTTGAGCCTGTGCGTAATGGCGCTGAGAGTATTTCTGAGGGTGAAGGTATCGATACTAACTCAGGCTCCACCGATAGTTCTGGTGATGGGAGTACATTCCCTTTTAAACCAGGTAAGTTTGTCCCTGTATTCCTGTGTCCCTCTTTCCTTTTCCTTTTCACTCTACTCCTGAGGCAGACGTGCTGGATGGAAGAAAGAGGCCCCTCACCTATAATGTTTACAGACTAGCTCAGCAGGCATGAGTTAAAGTGACCAGCAGATTCAGTGAGCAATATGTTGGTGGGAGTGTAATCTGATACTAGTACTGAACTTAACCAGCTTTGGAAGAGCACCTGGCATAGGAGAAAAAGTCAGTTCCAGGCTGGTGGAATTTGATAAGAGAAATTTTATTTATTTTCACGTAAAAGGATATTACAGTATGACCATGCCTCTGGAGATAGTGGTACCTGTCGTTTCACAAACCTTAGATTCAATTTGTGGACAGAATTGACTTTTTTAGAGCTGAACTCTGATGTCCTCTGTCAGAACCCGAATGACAAGAGTGCGGAGCACCTGGAATATGGGAGGTAACCTGTGAAATGTATGACAAACCTGGGAGGATCTTTGGTTTTAAAATCCCATTACATGTGGCATCTATCCCAAGCATATGCAAAGTGTGACCAACTTTGAGGTTTATGGGAAAATTTGGTGTGGACACTTAGGGAAAAGAAGTTGCTTTGATAGAAAGCTTAATGTAGCTAAACTTTTTTTTATATTCTGCCAGGTCTAAAGTGACTTTTACATAAACTAAAATTTTAATGTAAAGTACCAGCTCTCAAAAATAATCTAGACCGGAGGGAGCCAACAAATCCTGGGTAAGGGAACAGTAAGAGATCTAAAATTGATGATGAGGAGGGTGTAGAATGTCTGATGGGGTTTGGTCAAGTGTACTGCAGCCTAGAGAAAGTACTGAGAGCTGAATGAAGCTTTAACTTGATAGTGGGACAGGTGGAAAGTAAAAAGAAATAGCGGAAAGAACTAGGAGGCAAAAGACATTTATAGAGGTATAAATATAGGCATGCACATATGTAAATATATTAATCTATAATGATAGAGATACAGGTATGTTTAAATATTATATATTAAGGTAGCAGACAGGCATTGAGCCTCTACTCAAGCCCTCCATCAACACAAGAACACTTTATTCTAATAACCTGGCATTTTATGATGATCTCCTTCCCAACACAATCGCAGAAAACAAAGTGGGTGCATAAGCAAATGTGGTGAAGAAAGCTGGTGCTTGGCTCTTAATCGATGTAGCGTCTGGGGTCTTAAAGGCTTGAAACGGCCATCTAGCAGGAAAGCAACAAAGCCCACATGGAAGAATCACACCAGTCTGTGTGATCATGAGGTGTCAATGGGATCAGGTATCAGGCATCAGGCATCAGAAGACCCAAAATAAACCAATGCAAATGATGGGGGTCGGAGTGGAGACCCAAAGCCCATCTGTAGACAAATGTATATTCCCTCACAGAAGGGTCACAAGAAAAGAACGAGACAGCCAGGGTGCAGCAAAGCACCATCGGAACATACAACATTCCTCTAGTTCTTAGTGCTTGCTCTGCGCCCACCCACCCCCGCCCTCCCACTATCATGACCCCAGTTCTACCCTCCAAATCTAGCTAGACCAGAGTATGTATAGTGGTACAGATAAGCACTCTCAATGACCCACAGAATCCAGGATAGATAAACCCCTCAGGAACAGTAATGAGAGTAGCCAGACCATGAGGGTAGGGGGAAGATGGAGGAGAAGGGAGAGATACAGGGAATTGACTGTAATGATCTAATGATTGATGTATAAACACCCCCCTCCCAAGGGGAAGAATAGAAATGTGGGTGAGGGGAGACAGCCGACGGTGTAAGATATGAAAATAATTTATAATTATTGAGTCCACGAAAGTGGGAGGGTTGGGGAGCGAGGGTAAAAAGAGGAGGTGGGAGGTAAAAAAAGAGGAGCTGAGACCAAGAGCTCAAGTAGAAAGAAAATGTTTTGAAAATGATGGATGAAAACATGTACAAATATTTGTGACACAATGGATGTTTGGATTGTGATAAGAGCTGTCAGAGCCCCCAATAAAATGATTTATTAATGAAAACATAATCTAGACCAATTTTTTAGTCTGCCTATTTAATCACTTCATAGGCTATGAAATTAATATATATTATATATATATTAATATATAATATATATTAAACAGTATATATATATTTTAATACAGTGAAATATATTACATGCTCTAAAGATAAATATTCTTTTGCAAATTCCTGTTTTAGTTTGTATGTGTGTGCTTGGCTCTGGCCATGAAGTCAATGTATTTTTACTGTGGTCAAAAACGTTTAAAAGCCACTGACCTATAATTAATTTAATCTCCTTAATGTACTCCTTCTTCCACTACCAGTTAACTATTGTTAATGAGCTTTATAAAATGGTAATGTTTTAAAACAATATTATTTTAAAACAATATTTTCTTACCTTAGGACTTCATACACTCAATTCCCTTTTAAATCTGAGCTTTTATTAGATCACCAAACACTTGTTCTTGTTGTTGTTGTTAGGTACAATCAAGTCAGTTTTTAAATTTTTTTTTAATTTTTAGTAATCCATTGTTTATTGCAGATATTTTAAATTGGACTACCCTTACAATATGAAGAAAATCCCTAATGCTCATAACATAGTATTCTAAATTAATGACCTGAGTTAAATTTAGGAAGATTTATCAATGATTTTCATATCTAATTTTTTAAAATAATTTTATTGGGGACTCATACAGCTCTTATCACAATCTATGCATATCGTCAGTTTTTATAGCACCCCTTTGAATATTAAAAAGGAAGTACTGCCCAGCCCTGTAGTGGTCCTCACAATTGTTCTGTGCTTGAGCCCCTTGTGGCAGCCACTTTTAAACACTGTCGCCACCACCAGTCTTTCCCACAGAGAGCTCTCATTACAAGGACTGTATCAAGTATTTTTAATTTTTACTTTGGCAAGGAAAAGTTACACTGCTGTCTAGACGCCAGCTCTGCCACCCAGCATCCCTTAGCCTCCACAATACACCTTTCTGTAAGGGAGAGGAAGAATGCCGTCCGTTTAAAATGCTAAATCCAAAGAAGATGATGTCTACTTTTTAATAGAGTAGGCAGCAGGAATTCATTTGAAATAACCTGCAAAACACTCAGACTGTCAGAGCTCCTGTAAAGAAGAACACAGTCTGTTGCGTTGAAGGCATCTGGAGCCTGGTTTTGATGGAAGTTTTGTTAATTCCTTTCCAGGATAATTTTCAAGGAATTTTCAGCTTTCTCTCATGAGAATGGGACTTAGAGCAGTGAGAGATGTTTCAGTATTTATGTCAGCAGCAGTTTAAACTGCAGGCGGGGAAGAAAATTCTGTATCTAGCTGCCTAGCCTTTTCAGATGATTAAATAAGTTGTTCGCTTATCACTTGTGTTCTTTCTTCTCTAATATTACATTTCCAGATGAGCAGCAAAACAAGAATCGTTTTTCAGGAAACAGCATATTACCAGATTTCTCATTCGTGGGATATTAGGAAAAGTAATTTTTTTTTTTTAGAACTTATTTTTTATTTAATGAAGATTATTACTTTGCCCTTTTAGTGTGTATATAAAGTGGTTTTATAGCCAATTGTTGCAAAGAGTCTCAGATATCAAGAAGGGATGAAAGAGCAAATGACAGTTTAAAATCTTCATATATGGCATTTTCTGGCAATACTCACTGTTTGTGTTTCTATCTTTTTAAAAAACATATAACTGAACCTACTGCCATCAAGTTAATTCTAACTCATGGTAACCCAACAGAGCAGAGTAGAATGGCTGTAGCATTTCTGAGGCTGTACATCTTTTTATTTATTTTTTAATCATTTTATTGGGGGCTCATACAGCTCTTACACAATCCATACATACATATATTGTGTCAAGCACATTTATACATGTGTTGCCATCATCGTTTTCAAAACATTTTCTTTCTACTTGAGCCCTTGGTATCAGCTCCTCCTTTTTCCCCCCTAATGAACCATTAATAATTTATAAATTATTATTTTTTCATGTCTTACACTGACCAATGTCTCCCTTCACCCACTTTCATGATCGGCTCCCCGTTTCTACCCCTACCTTCCCCTTCCCCTCCTGGTATTGCTACTCTCATTATTCATCTTGAGGGCTTTTATCTGTCCTGGGTTTCCAGCTCTTATCTGTACCTGTGTACATTTCTGGTCTAGCTGGATTTGTAAGGTAGAATTTGGGTCATGACAGTTGGAGGGGGTCAGGAGGAAGCATTAAAGAACTCGAGGAAGGTTGGATGTTTCATCGGTACTACACTGCACCCTGACTGGCTTGTCTCTACCTTGTGACCCTTCTGTAAGGGGATGTCCAATTTTATACAGATGGGCTTTGGGTCCCCATTCCACATTCCCCCTCATTCACATTAAGATTTTTTTGTTCTGGGTCTTTGATGCCTGCTACCTGATCCCATCGACAGCTCATGATCACACAGGCTGATGTGCTTCATCCATGTGGACTTTGTTGTTTCTCAGCTAGACGGCCGTTTGTTGATCTTCAGAGGCCGTAGGAGCAGAAAACTCTGTGGAGTGGCTTAGTGGGCTTGAAATGCCAACTCTGGGGTTAGCAGCTCAATGCTTCCTCATTATGTCACTAGGGCTCATTACTTAGGACTGAAATAGTGAAGTTTGGTTATGACTAAAGTAAATATTGGCATCCAGTTTTCCCTTCAATTGGATGTACTTTAAATGGATCATAGATAATGGTCTTACAGATGGCTGACTACCTTTGTCCCCCTTCCTAGAATCCTGGAAGCCTGCTGATACTGAAGGCAAGAAGCAGTATGACAGGGAGTTTCTACTGGACTTCCAGTTCATGCCAGCGTGTATACAGAAACCAGAGGGCCTGCCTCCCATCAGTGATGTGGTTCTTGACAAGGTACGATGTAGTCTCAGAGAAAACTAGGGCTGGCCTTTTAATGGGGGCTCATTTTAACTGGAACAAGATGTTAAGTATAAGTGACTTTTTAGGAATTGTTAATCCACGTAGTATTTGAATAAAAATATATAATGTTTAAGAATTAGTATTTTCCAACAAAAACAATATTGGCTTTTCAGTTTCCCCTAAATTATAGTAATCTTAGGGTTTGGTCCATAGTTCACTAGTGAATTTTAAAATTCTTTAATTTATTTACCTAGCGATGCAGTGAAAAGTATGTGACCATAGATGGAAACATACAGATAAAGTGATACTATATTCCCCCACTGTTTTACCTTTTTAATTTGTATGTAGTGACAGTAAGGACAGGTCAGCAACTTAGAAAGGTAACTGACAAGTTAAACTGAAATGGGAGCCAACCTAATTCTCAGTGTATGTCTCAAAATAATCCTATGAATCCTTCCAGTGATGGAAGTTTCCATTCCTTTGCAAGTACACATCCTTTCTCTATGCATGATCTTAATGTTACTTAAAAAGATTAGTTGTTCTCTAGTTAATAAACGGAGTTAAGTTAGATGTATATCTGTCCAAGTTATTTTATGTTAATCAAAGTTGAATCCGTGCTGGTTATTAAATCTGAAGTAGTTTTTGTTTTAAAGAGGAAATATTTCTGGGTAGACCCGAGGATGTACACTGGTACAGATAGGAACTGGAAACACAGGGAATCCAGGACAGATGATCCCTTCAGGGCCAGTGCTGAGAGTGGTGATACCGGGAGGGTAGAGGGTGGATGTGGTGAAAAGAGGGAACTGATTACAAGGATCTACATAGAACCTCCTCCCTGGAGGATGGACAACAGAAACGTGGGTGAAGGGAGACATTGGACAGTGTAAGATATGATAAAATGATAATAATGTATTAATTATCAAGGGTTCATCAGGGAAGGGGGAGCAGGGAAGGAGGGTGGGGAATGAGGAGCTGGTGCCAGGCACTTACGTGGAGAGCAAATGTTTTGAGGATGATTAGGGTAACGGATGTACAAATGTGCTTTATGCAATTGATAATATGTATGGATTGTGGTAAGAGTTGTGTGAGCGCCCAATAAAATGCTTTTTAAAATTATCAAGGGTTCATGAGGGAGGGGGGAGTGGGGAGAAAGGGGGGAAAATGAGGAGCTGATACCAAAGGCTCAAGTAGAAAGCAAATGTTTTGAGAATGATGATGACAACAAATGTACAAATGTGCTTGACACAATGGATGGATGGATGGATGGATGGATTGTGATAAGAGTTGTACGAGCCCCCAATAAAAGGATTTTAAAAAGAAAACAGAAGGGAAAAAAAGAGTATATATTTCTCCTTAATTAATATATGGAGGTTATCTTATAGAATGGGGCCAGCATCTTAGGGAGATTTCCAGCAGCTTCTTTGTTATTTTATGTATTTCTAGCAAAAGGTCTTCTCATTTCTCTTGAAAACTAAGACTACTCTCTTAGATACTTTTGTGAGGACAGTTGAATGATGGGTGATGTTAATTTGAGGCTACTTCAGAGAGCAAGTGTTATATCCACTGAATTAGATTATTCTCTTAGAAAATATTCCTTCCTGTCTTGCAACCTTATCTGTTTCTGACTGGCCAGTCCTACTTTGTCATTGAACTCCTGAGCTTTGCTAGCTCAGTAATCACACATTATGTGCCTATGTAAAGGGCAGACAGTAAGATTTTCATAATCATATCACATGAAAGACATCTCTTTTTGATATTCATGGTATACTCAAAATACATGCTTCACTATCAGTCAGCAGCACAGAAACCAGAACGAGCAATGGCAAGGTTTCTTACAGGCAGCTAGCTGTCCTAGTGATTACCTTGAAAAATGAATGCCAGAATTAGGCATTGTTTCAGGGAATTATAGAAGAGTTTGTCTTGAGCCATCCCATTGGTCCTATATGTCTAGGAAACCATCCTAGTGGTTGTGTCTAATTTTTCTGGGGAAATTTAGCCTCATCAGCCCCAGCGCACTAGAAAACAGTTGTCATCCCAAGGTTCTCAGGCTAGCCCAAGAGAAGCTTTGACTTCCACTGATTAGAAGCAAAAAGAGCCAGTGCTCACCTTTCCAATGGACCTAGTATTTCAGGCAAGGTTTTACTATCTTTGTGACAGTGAATACTTGGGAATTTGTATGAAGCATTTCCTTTGCTTCTTGACACAGATCAACCAACCCAAATTGCCAATGAGAACTCTAGACCCTCGCTTTTTGCCTCGAGGACCAGACTTTACTCCAGCCTTTGCAGATTTTGGACGACAGACACCTGGTGGAAGAGGTGTACCTGTAAGTGCAACTTCCCTACAACCATCTAGTTTGACACTGTCATTGACTCAGTATCATCCTGTCTAATAGCCGAAACCTCTTTTATTCATTGATTCTTCTAACCAAGAAGAAGTAAAAGAGAAGACGATCCTTTTCATACTGATATTAAAACAATTAAAGAATACATTTGAATCATTTTTTTCTCCATTGCTTTTCCTATTGAAATGACCTGCAAATGGAATAAAAATAGAGCCAACCTTGATAGGATTCCTGTTTTGTTTTGAGGCACTCTAATATATTGGAGATCTCATGCAGCTAATGGGCATCTCTTTGTCTTTGTTTCTACAGATTTGCAAAGTGCAGAACAGGCATGGATTGCCAATCCTGGAACAGGGCAAAGCCCCAGCATGCACTCCTCTGGCGATGTCGCACCCACCCCTGAAGGGCCTGCCTCTAGGGGTGCGCTGAATCTTTTTTTTCCCCCCCCCCAACAGTAGTCTGTGGTGTTACACTATCTTCTATTTTGCTCTTCGCATTTCCTCTAGGTTATGGAGTAAAAAGACAAACAAATGTTAGATGCAAAAAGAGTGCAGTATTGGTCGGCTGCAGATGGCCATTCCACCCCCAGTGGCAGGCTCTTCAGTGGTGGAAGGGGCATCACCATTGGGATTATGCTGGGCCGCTGCACTGTGCAGGGTCTGGCAGATTCTGCCTACCTCATGCTGTGTAGTCTTGCAGAAAGCATGAGGGAAAGTTGCCAAAGATGTGAATACAACGCCCCCACCCCACCCCATCAGAATGACACAAGTTAAAGAGCACTTAATGACATTTTGGAGGACCTTTGGTTTTGATGTACATTTGCAGATCACCTTGTTAAGATGACTTTATTTTATGCTTTAAAAATTGTTTTTTTCTATAAGGTAACACATTTTATTTTCCCATCAACTTTTTATTTCTGGAATGGCAACTTTGAAACCTGCTTTAATATAAGACTAGACTCTAAAAATGCATGTTACTTGGTAGTTGTTTGAATTATTGGGTTATTTGCCTGCAGATGAACAATGATTGAAAACACTTGGGTGCCTATCATTTGTTAGGGCTTTATAAAATCTCCATAGATGCTTCTTAAATTGAAGCAGATTGTGTGAGCATCACTTAGAGACTTCTATGTGTGTGACACTCTTCTCAAACAGATTGGGGACTTAACCCCTATTTTCTCCAATACAAAAGTACATTTTTTTCCTAAAGCCTACATTCCCTCATCATAAAAGTCTTAGAAAACCGCTTTCTGAAAACCTTTATCTATTTTTTGTGTTTATTTTTAGCATGATTTTCTTTTTGATTATTTGTAATTATGCTTACACTACTGTTGGTTTATTTTTTGTTTTGCTTTGGCATGTTTTTAAGTCGTTTTTTTGGTCAAATATTTAAAATACTGTTGATAGCATTTTGATGATAGCATCTGTGGCTGTATAGCTCAGTGTTGTTCCTGGGTCACAGAGGTGCAAATTGCTGTACCTTTTTGCACTTCTTTGAATATATACTGATACTTTTCATTCCCCGCTTGCTCATCATTGCCTAATAATTAGTTATATATAAATGGAAATATTGTGAATTGAAATAAGATACATATGTATTTTTAAATGTACATTTTAAAGGGAAGTTTGATTTTTTTAAAAATTTAAATCATTTTATTGGGGACTCGTACAACTCTTATTGCAATCCACATATACATCCATTGCGTCAAGCACATTTATATATTGGAAATTTGATTTTTAAAGTAACTCTCAGAATTTACATTTAGCCCATTAGGCTTGCATGTGTGAGCAGAATAAGTCATTTTGGTGCGTTCAGTTATGTGACTAGAAATGAGACTCAACTACCATTTGTAGTAACGTCAAAATAGTCGGCTCTGGTAATTTAATTCACTTGCTTCTGTCATGTGTTAAAAGATAATTTTCAAGTGAAATTGTGGAGTAAAATTGGTAGGTTAAGCTTTATAGGTTTTCTGACTTTCCATAGCTGACATATAATGGAACAATAAATAACCCAAGTTTGAAAATAACAGCCCTACTTTTCAGAGTTTCTGGTTCCATATTGCTAATCATTTTTGTCAATTCAGATCAGCTTATTAATAGTTGCCACCTAATGACATTAAAATCTACTAGATATGCTCAACAGTGTGACCTAAGTAGCTCCCAGTATAAACTTTCTTGTAAAAGGCTTCCTGCAAAATGTTTCTGCATGTCTGGCCAATAGTTTTGAATGTCACTGCAGTTGCAAACAATTTTCAAGCATGAAAGGTACTGGTGGTAAAGTGCATGCCCACTGAAAACTTGCAGGTAGTGCTATCTCTTTCGTTTTTAAGAGAATCCAATTACTTGAGTAATTGTGGTGTTATTTTAGTAGTAGTGTTTTTTCAGCTCTCAGAAACTGTTCTAAAAGAAACATCTCAGGAGAAGGGTTATGGAAGTAGACTCGTAATTTGTCATTCATATTCACCTCAACTAACAGATTCGTACTGTTACATATATGGACAAATGCAAAGGAATAAACATGGTTTTCTGAGCTCCCATCATCTTCTCTTCCCTCTTCAAAGAGACACTGTTTGCCTTCTCTCTCTTTTTATCTGTAAAGTTTAATGTTAGCCCCATTTCCTCTGATTATCCAGGTAATCAGAGGAGCTTGGTGATGTATTTCAGTCCCTGAGATCCAAATAAACACACTGTCATTGAGTTGATTGTAACTTATAGCAACCCTACATAGTGTTTCCCTTTCTTTCTCCTATAGAGTAGCTGGTGGATTTCAGCCGCCAACCTTGGGGTTATCAATCCAATGCTTACCCAACATCGCCACTAGTACTTCTTCTGAATGAGACAGGATAAAGTATATTTAGATATTTAGAATCTAAAACGGATGAGTGTGCATAATTTCTTAATACATTAAAGGAAAATGAATGGGAGTGAGAAAAAAAAAACCTTCCCACTTATCTGAAACAAAAACTTACTTCCTAGTTAATAAGCTGCACATATTGATACTTCATTTCAGCTCTGACATTGGAGCACATAATGTTGAATACAGTAAACTCTAACTTTCACTGATTCTGAATTCTGACTCATAGCAACCATCTAGGACAGAATGGAACAGCCCCTTTGGGTTTCTGAGACATTAAATCCCTATGAAAACAGACAGCTTCATCTTTCTTCCTAAGTGACTGGTGGGTTCAACTACACCACCAGGCCTTCAGTATACTTTAAACTCACTGCCATCAAGTCAATTCTGACTCATAGTGACCCTATAGGACAAGATAGAACTGCCCCTGTGGGTTTTCGAGACTAACTCTTTAAAGGAACCAAAAACCTTGTCTTATATTGTACAGGGCAGCTGGTGGTTTCAAACTGCCGACCTTGTGGTCTGCAGCCCAACTTGTAACCACTATGCCACCAGGGCTCCCAGTACAATCGGAAGTCTTCCAAAATTGACTTAATAGCCACCTCTTATAATTGCCTGTGCTTTATGCTATACCAGTGTCATCTATGTACCTCATAACTGTCTTAGCACAGAATCCTAGATTTTGTTTGTGCTTAATAAATAAGCTGCTCATCATGGTGGCCCTTGAAAGATACTATGAAACTCGGTGATTTGTATCAATTATGAAGGTTTTTCACACACAAGTAAAGCACGTAATATTTTTTCTGGTTCTTTACTATGGCTAACAATACCTTATATGTCATTTTAAAGGTCCTTTTACATGGTTTCTATCCTGTGATCCTCACCAGACCCTTAAGCAAGGTTAAAATCAACAAGGTTAGAGTTTGACTAAAGAATCCAGTTCTCTGTCTTCTAATTGACTTCTTTTCTGTACTCACCACAGTCTCCCAGACATTGATGTTCTCGACTGTGGATTCAATCCTTGAGAACTTTGGAGATTAATTAAGGACACGTTAAAAATTAAGTATATAAAATTATTGGGAACTCAACACTCTTAGACATAAACTATTGTGAGCAATGTTTCTCTTAGTTATTTCCAGAAATAGAAATATAATTTATAAATGTGCCTTGAGAAGTTGCCAAATTTACCTAAACCCATTGCCATTGAGTCGGTTCCAAATCACGGGACCCTATAAGCCAAAGTAGAGCTGCCCCATGGAATTTTGAAGTGTTTCATGTTTCTGCATGCAGACACCACCTCTTTCTCCTGTCAGGTGACTGGTCAGGTCAAAGCACGGACCTTTGTGTGGCAGCTGAGTGCTCTCCACAGAGTCACGAGGGCTCCTATGAGAGTTTGCACTTGGCTGGCTCTCTTAAACTTTTTTAGTTGAAACACTGTTGTCCCTGACTTAGTAGAATGCCTTACATCTCTTTGCTCCATGCTTGAAATTCACATGTATTGTGGAGGAGCAAGGAAAGAGCTGTAACATAAACTGTACCTGTCACGTTCCAAATTCCGATAGCAAGGCATATCCATCAATGTTTGAAATGGACACTTTCGGACTCGATCCAATCAAACTTGTGCCTACTATCGCTCTTACATGATTTTGACGCCATTTTTTTTCTTTTTCTTTTTTTTTTTAAATAATCATTTTATTAGGGACTCATACAACTCATCACAATCCATACATACGTCATTTGTGTCCAGCACATTAGTACATATGTTGACTTCATTCTCACAACACCCTCTTTCCACTTGAGCCCTTGGTGTCAGCTCCTCATTTTCCCCCTCCCTCCCCGGTCCCCCCTCTCCCTGGGCCCTTGATAATTTATAAATTATTATTGTATCATATCTTACCCCATCCAACATCTCCCTCACCCACTTCTCCGCTCTCCGTCCCCCAGGGAGGAGGCCATATGTAGACCTTGTCGTCTATTCCCCCTTTCTCCTTCACCTTCCCTCCACCCTTCTGCTATCGCCACTCTCTCCACTGACACCATTTTTTAACTTACACTCAGAAACATTTATTTGTACTTGGCAAATGTTTATGTCCAAATGCATGGATTTAGATTCACTGTGTCGTCATATCTAATGATATATCATATACTTAAGCATCAGCCAAGCATTGAAGAAGATATTATTTAACAAGTCAACACCAGAAGAGAACCTAAATTTTAAAAACTAGCCATTTTGGTGTATATTCTCAACAGAATAACAGCCCTGTTTTGTGTGACGTACCATATCAAAGTTATACATAAATATTCTTATAGTAGGACCATCTAATTTATCAGCTTTTCGGTGCTGGTACTTTTCCAGTCTAATGATCTACTGCATTTTTCTTCCAGTTGTGCCCCACCTGGTACCTCCAGACTTATCTAGCTTCTCAGTTGTCTTACTGTTTAGCAAGTAGTCTGTGATCTTATCATCATTTTACGTCCTTAGCTGGGTGCATTTAGCAAGATTGGTATGGAAAAACAAATTCTAACTTTTTGTAGGTGTTCTGAGCATATAAGTTCTTTTTCTTTAAAAAGACAAGAGCTCACCTAACCCAAGTGCCTGATGTTCATCTCTGCCTCTTGACGCGTTGGGTGTGATGCTCAGCAGGCTTGACCTGAGCAGCACAGTAGAGATAGTTCCTTGTCAGTCCTCTGTGGAGATATAATAAAGAATATTCTTGTTCTAGCTGTTGAACATTGGACCACGGAGATCCCAACCTGGGCAGAGGAGAGAGCCCAGGAAGATTATCACCGTCTCTGTGAAAGAAGATGTGCACCTGAAGAAGGCAGAGAATGCCTGGAAACCCAGTCAGAAACGAGACAGCCAAGCTGAGGATCCTGAAAATATCAAAACACAGGTGAGAACAAAGCACACCTGAGCATTATTTGGGAATGATAATTTTGTTTTCATTTCTTTTAACCTATTTGTATATGTGTATCTAGCAGTTTAAGACTTTTTGTCATTTCTTTTTCTATTAAAAGTATTGTTCTAAACCATAGGTTTCCAACCTTATTTGACCTCCTGCCCCACCCCCCATCAGAAAAATAATTACTCATCCCTACCCTAAAAATCTGCCCACTTCTGCAGTTAAAAACCTCTTGTACTGTAGTTCAAAACCAGAACCATGCCTGGAAGGTTCAGGGGGTACACCCAAAAAAAACTGGAAAGAAGCTCCCCTGGACAGAGTTTTTGTAATACACATTTTTTTCACAACGCTACCATCAAGCAACTTGCTCTGAGTTTTAGTGCACTCAGTGGTATCACCTGGGAACGTTCTCTCTGGTCACAGTGAATTTTTCTGGTAAAAGCAGTTTCACTTGAACCTTGTTTTTTTGGGGGGGTGTCCAATTTAAGAGAGCAGCTTGTGACTGTGAAATTTTGTTACCTGCTCAGGAAAAGTCCCAAAGAAACTATTGAGATGCTGAACACAGCTTCTAAGGACAGCACTGGGGGGAACACCTCAAGTGTACAAGTGGTTTTCTTGTTGCAAAAAAAGTGAAATGCTGATTGATATAAAGTCTTGTTTTGGATGCCTGTCAGCTTCCTGAATGGATGAAATGTAGACAAAATTCCTGCACTTGGGCTTGAAGATCAATGATGACAAACCATTGAAGAGATGGGGAGGTTATCTGGACTATCTTGCAGCTCAGTTCAGTGAATTTGAACGGAAGATTTGGGAATGAGAGGGGTCGCTGTGAAATTTGTGCCTTGGGTTCTGACTGACCAGGAAAAAGAACAAGTGGAAAATTGCCACCTTTGAAAGAACAGCTTCAACGTGATCCAGACATTTTTTCCACGGTCATTACTGGTAACGAGACATGGTGCTATTCTTATGACCCCAAAAGCAAACATCAATCAAGCCAGTGGAAGACACCATCGTCACCTCACTCAAAAAAAGCTCATCAAGTAAAATCAAAGATCAAGATGATGCTCTTTTTTTTTTTATGTGAGAGGGATAGTGCATTGGCATTCTATCCACCAGGTCATACTACTAATCAAGCTTTCTATTTACAGGTTCTGAAAAGATTGTGTAACAGTGTATGACAAAAAAGGCCTTATTTGTAGTACATGGGGGACTAGTTTTGCCACCACGACAATGCACCTGCTCATCCAGCCATCTCAGTATGCCAGTTTTTAGCAAAAATCAGCGTGCCTCTCTTGCATCATGCACCTTACTCACCTGACCTCACTCTGTGCGACTTACTGTATTTTTGTAACTGTGAATGCAGAGGGATATGAAAGGACAGCAATTCGACTACATAGAAGAGGTGGGAAAAAAAGTTAAATCTGCTCCAGCTCCACCAATCCGGCCGCCCACTCCCCCACCACCTGACTCACACCATGGCCAACAATGAGCGCACCTTCATCGCCATCAAGCCGGACGGCACCGCCTGGTGGGCAACATCATCAAGCGCTTTGAGCAGAAGGGGCTCCATCTGGTAGCTATGAAGCTAGTTCAGGCCTCTGAGGAACACCTGAAGCAGTACTCCATTGACCTGAAAGACCGCCCCTTCTTCCCAGGGCTGGTGAAGTACTTGAACCCAGGACCAATTGTGGCCCCAGTCTGGGAGGGGCTGAATGTGGTGAAGATGGGCTGGGTGATGCTAGGAGAGACCAACCCAGCGGTTCTAAGCCAGGCACCATCCAAGGGGACTTCTGTATTCAAGTTGGCAGGAACATCATTCATGGCAGTGATTCGGTCAAGAGCGCCGAGAAAGAAGTCAGCCTCTGGTTTAAGCTGGAGGAACTGGTGGACTACAAGTCTTGTGGCTATGACTGGATCTACGAGTAAGAGGCGCACAAAGCAGCCCCGTCCCCGTGGGCCCGTTGGCACTGTGCCTGTCCTGTGTATAGCTCTTCTGGGGTTGGAAGCAGTAGGATTGATGTCCTGTCCCCTTCCAAAGCACACTGACCAATAAAATAAAGCCTTTAGAGACTGAAACCCCCCCCAAAAAAAAAAAATTAGGTGCTGTCAGCCATCCAAACAGATGAGTTTGAAAAATGTTTCCAAGAATGGAATCTCAGATTTGACAAATATATTAAGTGTAATGGGAGAGTA